AATATTTTATTATTACTTACCTTTTACAATTAGAAAACCTAAGAAATTGAATATTTTATTATTACTTTAAATTACTTACCATTTTAAATGAGTAATTACTTAATTACGGTAACTCCATTAATGACCCGTGTAATTCCATTTTAATTGAGTAATTACCATATGAAAAACAATTACCATTTTTGGTGGAAGACCAAATGGGCGGGAAAACAAAATTGAAAATCCATGTCTTTTTAAATAAAGTATGGATTTTATTTCCTTTTTAATAATATTAAAATAAAATTATAAAGTTTTATAACAGATTATTAATACCGTGTATTAATTTAGGAAACTTAATGCCGTGTGATAATATATAAATATACCATATTTATATGCGATCTTACCATAATTTCGTTTTTAATAATTTCCTTAATTAAAATACCGTGTATTAATACCATATGCGATCTTACCATATGTGGTTAAGACCATTTAAGTTTGTCATTACTAATTACCATATGGGGTTAAGAATTACCAAATTATATGTACCACGAAATGAGCGGGAAAAAGCCATTGCCAATTCATGGCTTTTTAAATAATATATAGATAAGTCAATTTTTGGAATTTAGCTCTATTGGATCAATATTTGAACTAAACCATGAAATTGACAAATAATTTGGAATTCCTGGGTAATTTATTTGTTTTTAGTGTACATTAAATGTGTAATTACTTTTGCCATTACAGCCCTCACTATTTAATTTATTCTTTTTCTATTTGCTTGCCTCACTCATACAAATATATATTGAATCTTTCTATATTATATAAATGTGAAATAGTATGAGTAATTTACATATATAAGAGTAAAAGATGCCACTTTTCCCTAAATAGGAGTACTCCTATTTACATTGCCGTATAGTGTTATAAAATTACAAAAATATCCCATGCGCATTTAAAGGAAAACCTCCACTCATTTTTTTCTCCATCAAGTTCGGCTATAATTTAGGAAATGGGCATAGGAATAGTGAAAAAATCATCATCCCATTACCTATCTAATTTAAAATAAAATTTATTATATTAAATTTACATAATAACTAAAAATATTTGTTTTCATAATTTATGATTAAAATGTGTAAAATTTATCTTTAAAAATTAAATAATAAAAACATTTAAGATGAAGGAAGTATATGATAATTTTTGGGATTTCATGAGAAGATAGTGCCTTAGCCATTAATTTTTTGTAATATGCTATAATATGCAACTAGGCAAAGGTAAATATATTTGTTGGCTGATGATGTTCAGAAAATAAAGTCATTATGCATATGAACTTAAGATGAAAAATATAAAAAACGTGTGCAAACATTGCATATGAAGATATTAAGCTATACACATGCTAAAATAATAATCCCTCCGTCCATGTATGATCTTCCAATTACGCGTTACGAGGCTTGACCGACTTTATTTTCAATTCAATTTAATTGATTATAGGAGTAAAATTTTAAAATAAAATTTATATAGTATTAAACTATACAAAAAGTTCTACAAAATTAGAGGTGACAAGACTATATTATTTTATGAAATGACTAGTAAAATTGAGTAAATAAAGTGAGTAAAGTTTGACCCTGTGAATAGTGACTGAGAATATTTATGGTGGATAGAGGGAGTATAATATAGTATTGTTTTAAAACATTATTGCCTTAAAACATTCACATATGACATTTTGATGTTTATAAGCTGATTTACACAAGACGTTTTGATGTACAATATGTTGTAATATGCAAATAGGCAAAGGCAAACATATTTCATGGCTATTGAAGTTCACAAAATAAAGTCATTAATTCATTATGCATATGAATTTAAGGGGAAAATATATAGAACATGTGTAAACATTGCATATGAAGACATTAAGCAATATTCAAACATATTAAAATAATCTAAGACATTAATATATACCATACAACATTCACACATAACATTTAGATAATGTATAAGGTCATTGTGAATATGAGTAAAAAGGAAAAACATTCACACATGCCATTTTGATAGTGTATAAGGTCATTGATTGTGACTATGAGTAAAAGAGTAAGGGAATTAAACTAAATAGAACTAAAACATAATGACTTTTTCTAAACAGGAACATATGTATTTATTTCCCAATTTAAGACCATTGGTCATTTCCCAATATAGGACTTAAACTTTTTTATTTTCTAAATAGAACTTAATAATGACTAGTCAGAAAACTAATGTTCAAGTGATGTTGGACATTTAGTTGAATAATGACTAATAGATAATGACCAATGCTCCTAGATTGGAAAATAAAAATATATGATCACTTATAAAAAAGTCATTATATTTTAATCATATTTACCCTTGGTCATTATACAAGTAAATGTCCATCATCACTGGATATTATTAATTCCTCCCACTAGACAATATTAAGTAATATTTAGAAAATAAAAAAAGTTTAATTCCTACATCGGGAAATGACTTATGTTTTAGTCCTATTTAGTGCAAATTTCACAAAGGGTTATATGAAGAAATTTAAAAAAAATAAGGGCCTAGAGTAAAAAACGAATTGTTCTCTTATAATATAGTAAAGAAAATATTCTTTAAAAAAAGTAAAGAAATTATTTTTAAAAACACAAGACAAGAAAATATGAAAAACAATGTACGGAGTAATCATTTCCTAAAAATAGGGGAAGTTATTACTAATTATCCTCTAAATAAGAAAAGAGAATCCTATTAAATATGGAAGCTAAACTAGGGCTGGACATGGTACCGGTTCGGTACCGTTACCGGCGCCGGTACTGGCGGTACCTGCAACCGTCCTCGTCGGCCGTTTTGTCACCCGGTACCAGGAACCGGTACCGGCACCGCCCCACTCGGTACCGGTTCTTGTGCCAACATTTCCGTCCCGGAACCGGCGGTACCGGTACCGGTTCCGGTACCGTACCGTGTAATTTTTTTTTCTCTTTTCCGGCAGTCCAACCATCGCAGAAGAAGAAGAGAACGGAGTACCGCAGAAGAAATTGGTCCGCAGAAGAAGAAGAAGAGAGCGGAGTACGAATTTCTCAAAAAAAGAAGAAGAAGAGAACGGAATACCCAATACCGCAGAAGAAATTGGTCCGCAGAAGAAGAAGAAGAGAACGGAGTACCAATTTCTCAAAAAAAGAAGAAGAAGAGAACGGAGTACCGCAGAAGAAATTGGTCCACAGAAATAACATATGCTCTCATCGCCATCATCGGCTTGTTCCGCAGCAATAGCCATTGGAGTCGGCGACTGGAAACCGTATAAGAAATTGGTGGCCGGTACGGTACCGGAACCGCTGGTCCGAGTACCGGAACCAGTACCGGCCGGTCCGGTCACGGTACTGGTACCAAGGGGTGGCGGTACTGGAACCGGTGGTTTCGGAACCGGAACCGTACCGGAACCGTACCGTGTCCACCCCTAAGCTAAACCAACGGAATTGAGAAAAGTAGGTCTAAAGGGCAAAAATGGCTACATGGAACAAAATAAGTCTTAAACAAAGAAAAAATCATAATAAGTCTTGTTTAGGGAAACCTATCATCTTTTAGTCCTATTTAGAACAAATTTTACAAATAGTATTAGGCACCTCTTTACATTATGCTATTTTTCCGGACAAAAAATAGTACATTTAGCTTTGGATCTTGTACTTAGATTTTAATTCACACTTTAACCCTACGTCATTATGTCCGTGGATGCCACTCTGAATGATTTTTTTGTTCGTTTAAGTTTTGTGTGTTTAGCCTTCCTTCTCAAACACTACTTCCTTCTCAAACACAATGATTGATGAGTTATTATCAGCTCGAAAAAGAATTACGCTGAAGTTGTCTCCTCCATTTTTTCTTCGCAAAGCCAAGCCGCATCTGGTCATCCCAAATTGGCTGCTTAGTATTTCACATTCGCAAAAAATATGGTAATGCGCTAGCAATTCTCTCTTCTGAATCAGAATATATGCTATATATATATATATATATATATATATATATATATATATATATATATATATATATATATATATATAGGGTTTGGTTCCGGTGAGAAAGAGATCTAATGAAAGAAATAAGAATGAATATAAACCCTCCGATCTAATCAGATCTAAATCTGATCGCCAGGGCATATGGGTCTTTTTACGGTCCCAGTGATAAATGATAAGCATCGTTAAACTTCCTCATCCCTGATTTCTCGCTCACAATCGGATTCACTTTCCCCAATTCCTCCATATCGGTGCCGCAGATATGAATTCCCTTATTTATCAACTTCTTAGTTTTACCATCCTCTCAATCGTCCGATTTTGGGATTGCAGCCGCTTGATCGAGTCTTTATCATGGTTCCAGGTTTGTTTTATTTTTTTGGTTTTGTTATGTTTAGAATTATGCAAATGTCGTCTAGTAATTTTGCACGCCTGCTCGAGTTCGTAGGATTCATATAAACATTTGTGTTGACTTCACGAATGCTTCTGCATTCGCGGTGAAATTACATGTAAACATTGTGTTGTTCAGAATTTGGCTTTTTGGTGTTCTCCTTTTCATTCATTCCCGGGCAATTCTCACAGCTTCATGAAAGTCTACTTCACAATTTTGTACACCTTAAGCTTTTTATTTTTATTTCTATTACGCATTTTATGCAATGAGTATTGCACCTTCATGTCTGCTTACTGCATTAAATATGATCCACTGATTTGGTTTCATGAATGCTTCTCCTATGCTTCTCCAATTATTTGTAAGTATTTGTTTTTTTGGAGTACTGTTCCGTGTCCTGTATTGCTTAATCACGGTCTTCGTATGTTTGTGGTTTCTTTTCATTATGTTTTTGGTCAATTTCAAACACTTCATGAATTCATGCTCCATGATGTTGCAGACCCTCTGTACTTATATATTCATATATGTTACATTATTTTGTATTGTTTTGCATCCTGTATTGCATAATCAGATATAAATAGTGCATTAATCAACATGTTTATCTCTCTATCGGCAGTGCACACATCTACTTCTCCAGACGAAGACACGCCCCATACAACAGAAATTATTTCTTCTTCATCCAACTTATTTATTCCTCCTTGCCCTGAAAACTCCAAGCCTAAAGTGGGAATGGTGTTCAAATCCTTGGAGGACGAATTTAATTTTTACAAGCAATATGCCTCACTGACAGGTTTTGATATTCGCAAAAGCACTAATTTGAAGGTTTCAGGTATTGTTGTTTGGCGGTACATTGTATGCAACCGTGAGGGTCATAAACATTTTGCATCAATTGTTAACAAACCCACTCACGATGATGGAGTGCCAAAGGCAAAACAGAGGAGACGCATTTCAAATCGTGTTGATTGCAAGGCACGTGTGGCGTTTAGGCTCGTGGGTGGTGTAGGGGACACCATATCGGCATTCATAGAAACGCATAACCATCCAATGCTGTCCATTCCATCTAGACCCTTTCTGAAAATCAACAGAAACTTAGAAATTGGCCACAAGAAGTTTATGTTGAATTGTGCAAAGGCGAACATTGGGCCAATGAAGTCATATAGATTGTTTAAGGAATCAGTTGGGGGCTACGATAATGTCGGTGCCATTGCCGTTGACTTTAAAAATTTCAAACGGGACTTGAAGGCATACATTGCAGGCGCTGATGCTCAAATGCTCATTGACAANAGAAACGCATAACCATCCAATGCTGTCCATTCCATCTAGACCCTTTCTGAAAATCAACAGAAACTTAGAAATTGGCCACAAGAAGTTTATGTTGAATTGTGCAAAGGCGAACATTGGGCCAATGAAGTCATATAGATTGTTTAAGGAATCAGTTGGGGGCTACGATAATGTCGGTGCCATTGCCGTTGACTTTAAAAATTTCAAACGGGACTTGAAGGCATACATTGCAGGCGCTGATGCTCAAATGCTCATTGACAAACTATTCAGAAAGAAACAAAAATGCTCTGCGTTCCACTTTGATTATGATGTCGATGAGAGTGACCAGCTAACCAGGGTATTTTGGTGCGATCCTGTCTCTAGGAAGAAGTACGCAATGTTTGGAGATGTCATTTCGTTTGACGCAACCTTCAACACAAATAGGTATATTCTTTAATGCCTTCTGTTTTGCCTTTAAGAATAAGTATAATACTGTTAAACTAGCCCTGTCAATATGCGTTGCACACCTTCTGTTCTTACATATTCTTACTATTTCGCATTTTTTGTAATCTGTACTGCATTATCATATTTACGTAACGCACTAAATACGTGTTTTCAGTGTTTGAACTACTTTGGCGATGGTGTGTTACCCGTGGTGCAGGTACAAAATGGTTTTTACGCCATTCACCGGTGTAGACAAAATGGTAAACGCATCAAGAGTGCTAAAGAGATCCAAATCGAGCAAAGCAAGAAGAACAAACGCATGTGTCGAACCTGCAAAGAGCTAGGATATCACGACAGTAGGAATTGTCCGATGAATTATTCATCGTAATTAAATCATCTTCCTACACACATTTTATAAGTTTTTGTAATGTTTTCAACGTTCTTTATAACGTCACATGACATTTGTTTGCCCATGACTTGTGTATTATTGCAATTTTGATTAATATAGTAATTACAAAATCATCAATGCACGACCTTTATGTATTTCCACTACATCTAAATCTACAGTTTTGATCCAATACTGCCCCGCAAACTTCTCATTCTATGAAAACATACAGTGATGGCTCTAAACATGTGTGGATCCCCATTAAACAAACTATACATTGCACTAAATCCATTTCCATCATGCACCAATAACAAAACACCCGTAACAATTCCTGCACCAAACAAGTCCCAACAGATCGACTACTTAGAACGCCTCTTACTTATTCACCCAACTTGTTATACGTTTGACAGAAATCACCACTGTCAAAAACAGTACCTGTCAATAAACAGCTACTGGGTTGCACTAAAACAAATTCAGGGCGCACCAATAAAACAAAATGCTGCAACAAATTCTGCACTAAACACTATCCAATCCAAAACATTCACCTGTTAAAATCAGAATCCCCTCCAACATTATGTAAAATTACAATGCAAAGAAACGGATTCACACAACAAATTGACGTCCAGTTAAGTCAATACTCAAACTCTTCATAAATACCAAAAAAATATGTGTATCTATGTTCATACTGAGCAATAGTGCAACCCCATCTAGCAAAACAAACAAGCCAGCAACGACTCACTCAAGGGTTGCTCCATGAAACCAAAACTCAAAAGGATATGAAATTGACAATTCTAGAAAAAAACAGAATAGATCATAATCCCCATGAAAAAGTCGGGCATCAAAAACATGAATTTGTAATCAAGTCATGTAGTCTTCAACCACTCGAGTGCTTCACCAGCTGCCTTATCTTGTCCTTAACCTCGTTGATATCTGATTCGACTATCGCAGCACAATACTTTGTACGAAGTGCATTCACCGCCCTCTCATTGCCCTTTTTCAAGCCACATTCCTACTGCTTCAGGCCCCCCACGCAGCTTGTTTTTCATCCTGAACACAACACTCTGCAATCTTCTACTCCTCCTTCGTGGAGTGTTATCTTGTGTCTTTAGTACTTTCTTTTTACATCTCTTAAGGAACAAGGGTTGGACTGCTGTGAAGTCACAAACACATGAAACACATTAAAAGATATTAACAACATCCATACTCATGCTATAAGAATGGTTGGTAATGCATTCCTGTCAGCTTGTATACAAACTTGTGATACTTATTCATGCTATTAAGGACCAATATCTTTTCCCATGTATTTCAAATATTCTTTCCATAATAGACCTTGCGCTTCAAACCATCTTTAGAACCAATTATTTACTCAAAAAATAAAGGTAATTCATACCCATAATAATTAAATGCACTACCATGCTTAATTCAG